ATCCCACAATTGCGCTTCACGGAATGAGATTTCGGGGAGATTCTTAACGACAAAAATAGTGCAAATACTTTGCTCACGTTGAAAAAACAAAAAGAAATAAAGAATGACGTAGGGAAACCGGTATGAGATGTTGGATGTCAGCAGGGCATTCTCATTCCATCCCTCTCATTCCATCTCTCGTTTACAGCGGCGCCGTTTGTCCCGAATGAATAAAAGTGCCCTACCTGCTCCCGGGACCAGTCAGTCAGAAGATATTAATAACGAAATATGATATAATAGAAGCATCCCCATGCGAAATACAATACAATGTTTATGCACCGGATTAACCGATGTTGCTTTTTGTTGTATTGCGTATGTGTGGAGGGACAAACGAATGGAGAAATATCGATATGAGAGAGGGCATTGAGGAATTGACGGTGTGGGGCAACTGCAAATGCTTCCAATGTATATCTCGAGGGCCCACAATAATCATTTTCAGAGATTTCGTGGGCAGATGGTTATGGAAAAACCCGAGGCTCTTTCTCGATCCTAACCTACGATACCATGAGATTTATCTTTCAGATTAGGACTACATCCTTTTTTAGGGCTATATCTCCTGGAAATTATTTCTCTCTTTCTGTCAATATTCTTTATCAGAGACAATTAACGATTTTTAAAAACAGCTTCTGCAGTTTGGAATTGAATTTCCGCGTTGCCTTCCCAGAAATAATAATTTGTATTCACAGAGTGTGAAAATATCGAATATAAGATAGAAAAATAGTTAGAGTAATGAATACCGATGATTGATAGTTGTGGTTTGAATTCCGGGGGTTAACGATAGCAATTTTCCCCCGCAATCAATGATTTCCCCCGAAAAACGAGCTAAAGTCTGATGAAGTTGGCAAAAAATGGTCCAAGTATCGAAATTAAAGAAGAGGAAGACAGAATGGGCGCACGAGTGCGGTGTCGGTCTCATCGAGACGTGAAGCGTGTAAATAATACTGAGGGCTGATTGTGGGCGTGGCTGACAGAACTCTAAAAATCCTCGGCTATATATCAAATGGTTTACTGCCTTCGGATGATGCCCTCTGTAGTGGCAGAAACGAAACGAGGGAAGAACAAATACTGTACAAAAGAAACGTGGCGCTAACGTGATTTCTGCGAGGCTACACCGAGTGTAAAAGTCGCCAGACGAGGAACGAGACTGGATACCCCCAAGTGAAATTGCCAATGGAAAAATAGTGAAGAGAGTCGTGACTTTTACTCTCGTCTCTCGGTGAACATTATTGTCTCCTGTCGAAATATTGGCTTCTCGCCGCTTCTATTTGTCCCGCCTATGTCTCAATACGCCTTTCAATTTTGTACGAAGGTAAAATCCGGTGCACCAAGTGGATATAAAAAAAAAATAATGGGGTGAAGGCAAATGGCGGGAAAGAGAGCTCAAGGGGCCTTCAGGGCCTTCTTTCGATTCCTGCACTCTCTGCCCTTCCCTTGCACTTCTCAGCTCTTCTTCAGTGATTACTCGAAAAACCGGATTCCACATGTACAAAACTTGGTTTCCCGCTTTTATGTGTATCTGGCATGTTCATTGCTACAGAACTTTACTGCTGAATTTTCACGGCCACCAGCTTTCGACTTCTGTCTTTACGATATGACAAATTGCGTGTGTTATCCCTCTTGGAATTATTCTTCTGCAATATTCAAGGCTATTCAAGTACTTTTTACGTACTTTTATTAACAGCAATTGCACATTCTCTTGCGGAGGATTTGTCTATTGAACATTCAACTCAGGGAAAAATTCGTGATAGTTTGAAAAATATTTTGCTTGTTATTCGTTGTTTAAACAACGAGAAACGCGTGAAAAAGTGGAAGAGTGGAAATGTGGAAATTTCATCCCCACGTCATGGTCACAATGTTATCCCTCATCGGAAGGATGTGGAGGGTCTGAAGGTCTGAAAGCAAAGCGAATGCACAAATGACCGCTGAAAATGACGAAGTAAAGGATGGAGAGAGGTGAAAATAAAAGGGAAAAAGGATAGTGGAGGAGGCAAAACTTCAAAGAGGGAAAACGTTGAGGTGGAAGTGAGATGCATGTTGGTGGTGGGTCTTCTTCGGGGTCTGCGCATGCCACTGCTAGAGGAGAGGGCTCCAGACAGAAAGTGGTCCGTATAATTATGGGTTGTCACCTCATCAGCTCAAGAGGGGGGCCAAGGGGGTTACACACATATACCTTTATGTGTGCCATATGCAGAAAACCGGTGAAGGAACTTTGAAGAGATTCGGGATAGGGTTCTACGTGCGCAATCTTTGCTCTCAAATTGTGTTTTATCGCTTCAACATTTCGGGGACTGGTGATTGGAGGGATCCGAGTGATCGTTCCTGGAAGGCTTTGATCGTCTTCGTCGCCAGGGAAACTCATCTGCAATCATAGGCCATCAAAACATTTTCAATTCTTTTTTTTTTCATTAATAAAGTCGAGACATTTTGACCAAATGCCAAAATTTAAACTTTTATTTATTTCATTGTTTTTGGTGGAATCAGATATTTTTTAAACGTGTGATTAACCGGAGAATTATCACCGTTTTTCATGGAAAGCTGCAATTATTTGCCGGCCTCATGATTAACGATCCTGCGAAATTTTAGCATTTTTCCTGAAATTTCAGGAGTTGTGGATGCAGCGAATAAATTATTGGTATGAATATTTATGCAATCTATCGATTTTTAGTTGATTTTTCAAAAGGTATCGATCCGTTTGCACGCCATTAGCATTCGCCAAATGATATTATAACCAACAACCGATGATTTTAGTTGCAGTTGATGCAATAGAGCGTCGAATAAAGGGAGTTTTGAAACGCCATAAGTGGAGAGTTTAGAGGGATTTCATTAAATCATATGGATTGGCTATAATGTATGTTATTGAGCGGAGCGTTCAAATCGCGCTCTATAAGTTGTAATAAGTCCAATTTTAAGGCCCCGGTCATGGGGGATGGGGTTTGGTGGGGCCAGTGGTTGTCAGAGTTGAGGATATCTTTTAACTCAATTTTTCATTTTACTTTATTTATATTTTTTTTCGCCCATGTACTTGGGTTTCGAGGGGATTCGACAAAATGGGTCTGGGTGGCGAATGGAAAGAACGGAGAATCGAATGATCACTGGTAAATGTTGGGACCGGCAAGGGGCCCTTCAGCGAAACCCACCACTTACTCGTCAAACGGCCCAGCCGGTCCTACGAAATCACTGCCATTTAGATAATTTGTAATGAATAGGCATTCGGATCGTAGTCTCTTTTTTATTTTATCTCTGTTTTTGTGTCCTTCCCACCTTTTATCCTCAACCCAGTGCTGTCAGGCCACTCCCATTTTGAATCACTCGATTCGGTTCACCATCGGAATAAAATCTGTCATTTTTCCATGGGATTTCATTTATCAAGTCAATTACCGGTTTATAAAACGTTTGAAAATATTCTTTTCTTGAAATTTCGCGGTTTGGAGCGCGGGATTTCAAATTTTTGCATTCTGTAGACTTTGGATTTCATTGGATTATGGGGAATTATTCTTTTTTTATAATTCTGGCTGCAAAGGGGCTTTTGATGCTAGAAAGAAATCGATATCTCATGGACCGTTTTTAACGAGAAAAAAATCCAGGAATTTACCATTTTCGTGAAATCAAATCAATTTTCGAAAATTTATCATAAACAAAAAAATTATATCCGAGTTACAGAAACAATTGAGATACAAAAATGAATTAAAAATAAAAACAATTGCAAAAAACGCATATTTGAAAAAATGCGCTCGTCCATTTTCGACCAAAATTCAAGTTTTGATTATGAATTTTCAAATTATTGTAAATTTTTAATACTTACCTGCGCTTTTAATAATTTTCATGAATCACGCTTAAAAAAAATAGATCATGTCCAAGTAATTAAATTTCTTTGCGCCCAAGTACTCAAAGCCTTCCGAAAGAAATTTTTCCACAATGTCCCATTAATTCCCGAGTGAAAAAAAAAATTAATTCGAATAAACAAGCGACATAGGCTTGACGGATCGGTCTGCTTAACCAAATATCAATCACATTGGTTAGTACCTATCACTACACTCTGCATATAATCTTCCCGTTGATTTCCACCGGCGGGTGTTTGCCGATCGACTTAGACCTCTCTTGAAAAAAAAAAAGCCCCCGAGATTTTCAACCCCCTACCCCATGAAACAGTGATGGATCCCCCTGAACACCCGGATATCAACAGATTTCAGAAAGCCAGGGCGATAAGTAACCCCTATCCTCTCGGTTTGAGTCATCGATGAAACGAGAAAAATTAACGAGAAAAAATTACTGGTAGTTGTCACGTGATTTACTGGATATATTCTGATCCAAGTTGGAAGGGAATCAGTCTTGAATTCATCCTTTGGAGGAGTTATAATGTATGCGGTGTCACGTTTCACCCCCAGGATGCGTCATTGATGCTCGTTTCTTTCCCCAACTCTGTCGTTTGTTATGCCACTGCCAACAGTTGGTCTTGCCACGATAAGTCCTCGTCCTGCCAAAATCTGTACTTTCTCTAGAATTCTCCACCACGCGCCCTCCATCCGTCAAATTTCTCAGAAATTCTGACATCTTCGAACGCGAATTTACCAGACAGTTTCAGCTTTCATCCAGTGCACGAGTCATTTTTCTCATAAACTCAGGAAATTATTTCAGGACATCTCATATTTCCAGAAGTTACTCTCCCCTCGTTTCCATTAAGACTCTCCTATAAATAAAATTCCATTTTTATCCTGGAAATTGAATTAACCATTTTTTAAATATACGTTTTATTTAATTGTAAATTTTTTCAAATTTTGTACACATGTTATAATTATTTTTATTTTACATGAAGAAAATTCTTGATTGAAGATTTTTGAAGATATGTTTATGTATAGATTGTAATTATTAAAAAATGATTTGAAAATTAAGTTTTTTGGAATATCGGGTTATCTTGGAAAGGAAGCGTTGAGATTAATTGTTAGGCGTTCTTTATTTTCCAGATGTTTCGAGGATGGAAAAATCCCCCCTCCTTGCCAATGGGTATAATCAACCACCCACTCACCTGAGTCACATGCAGTACATGCAGATGGGAGGACATCCGGGCGCAGGACACACGGCGATCCTCTCGCCTGCAAATCTTCCCCATCATCTACAGGCACAGGTGCAGGCTCGGGTAGAGCAAGGGCTCAAGGTCAACCCTAATATGGCCAACATGGAGGCACTTGCGAGGTGAGTATCACTCCCATTAGAAATTCAAAAATATAAAACCATCAGCTTCGAAACTCCAAAATTCGGTAATTGTGATTCTCTTTTCTTCTGGATCAAAGCGAATTAATCAAGTTCTACTTTCTTGCTAAGTTGTGATGAAGCCACTCAAAGGAGCCTTTTAACTCTCCCCTTAATATTTCGATTCAATTCGTACCCTTGATTTACCCACTAATGATATATATTTCTGGCTAAATGATGAACTCCCACAGCGGGAAGTATTTTCATTAACTCCACCTCCTTCACTCAGTGAAAACTGTTTAGCTCTTTCAAATTTTCGGCTGAATTTTTCGGGAAACTTGTTCAATTTTCTGGTATATAAATTATGCCTGTCATACAATCACTGCAAGAATTTTAACCCGCGAAATTTGATTAATTGGCGGCGAAGTTGATTGAATTGATTGAATGTATTCGGATAATTTGGAAGGGCTTGAGATTTTGTAGTGGACAATTCGGTGCATTTTAGTGGAGTTTGTGATTTCTGGTGTATTTCAAGAGTAGGCTATTTGCGAGGCCAAAAGAATTCAGCATTAAGAGGATTTGAAGAGTTCGAAGGAAGCCGTGGAAATCCGAGGGGTCTCAATCTTTTTCTCTCTTTATTTTTCTTATCCAACTTGAACACTCATTCTTGATTTTATCCTCGTCTTGTCAATGCTCCGCCACTCGTTTTGTTTTTCTCCTGCGTCACTCGCGGATTTCTTGTTTCTCCGGTATTTTGAGGGTACAACTGGTAAAGGGGAAAAAAATCACCCTCTGTCTTGGGAAAAAGAACGAGTGCATCGACTTGACACACGACCCCAATGGCTCTCACACCTGCTGAGTGTTCTAGAAAATCCAATTGTCTATTTAAACGCATTTTTATCATAATCCACGTGAACATCTCCGGTATTTTCCTCGTTAATTCTACGAATCTTCTACTTGTTTCGGGAATCGACAATTAAACATTAACACAAAAATTCATAACAGCAATTTAATCCCTCATTTGATTATGCCCTTATCTAATCCTCATACGAGAATCTTCAAATTCTCTCTAAAGTCTAGAAATCTCATTTTCATGTTTGTAAACAAATATTTCCGTTCAATTACTTCTCAAAATAATAAATAAATGAATAAATAATAAATAAAGAAATTCCTTACTCTTTAGGTGCAAATAGTAATTTTTTATCAGTGAAAAAAATTCGCGAATTTTCGGTAAATGTCGTCAGGAAATTTCCCACACTCCGAGATCCCACAAATTCCTTATCAATTATCGAAAAATAGTTGGTCTTGTCCCCCTCCCGCCCCCCCTTATTTATCCCCAATAACAACGTGAAGGCGACCCACCACACGTTCTGCATTATGATTTCACCGCTTTGCTTTTAATTAAAATGCAAATCTATCGTTTGAACGGGCAGAGAGTGCGAGAGAGATGACGAAGTAAGACGGATTATGTCTGAGGGGAGGAAGAGACAAACACCGGAATATGATTAATTCAGCAACCCCTGCCTCCTGTGTTCATCTCTCATGTTCTCTTCGGACTTGTGACCTACGATGTGACACACATAAGTTCACTTCACAATCTCAGACATCTGAGATTAAAAAAAAATACTCCACCTCCTCTCCCTTACCCAGGATCGAATGAATTTCCCTTCGATAATAATCCCCGTCCTTGATGAGTTATAAATAAAAATGTCCTCTGAAGAAAAAAATCTCAACGCAAAAGTGCGTAATAACGAATCGGAAATTAAGTCGAGTGTATATTTTCTTAGCATGTCTTTTTAATCAGGAAAACTTCAAAAGGAGTTTTCTACCCTCGCTGATTGATTCAACAGGAACAAATTAGAGGGGGTGGAGGGCTCGGGTCTAATGAAATGTTGATGAAGGAGTAAATGGTCTCGGTTCAGTTTTTTATTTATGTCTTAAAAATTATGGTACACTGAGATGAATAGAATTTTTCGATTGATTTCCAAAACAATTGATTTCAAAAGGAAACCGAAAAAAAACTGTTTTTATTGGGAGTTTAATCAACGAAAGAAAAATCCTTTACTGATTTTCTCTTAATTCATAAATAACGATTAATTGTTCTGATTGGCAGGTCGGGAGTCTGGGAAAACTGCAGAGCTGCCTACGAGGACATAGTGAAGCACCTTGAAAGGTAAATCAACCACCAATTAAAATCTAATGCACAAAGTAAAATATATCCGTTATCAACCTCAACGGGAAAATACTGTCAACCCCAAAATCGCAGTTTAAATGACTCGTGGAAGTATTCCCGGGATAGGATCATTCGCCTCCCCCTCATAATTCCCAATTAACCGAAAAATCACATGCATCCGGGGTGCATGGACAATATGAGTCGGTCAATCCCCGCGGAAAAACCGATGAGACAAAAATTCATCCGGCGATGATCATGAAAACGGTTTTCGATCGGTTGGATATGGACTTCCGATAAATCAGCATTACCGTCAACATCGAGTTTCCGGCTGCAGGACGGGTTGATTCCTCTCACTTGACGGGGTAATACCAACATGATTTGTACCGTTCTACCACCCATCCACCCCCTCCGCCCTCTTCACCCTCTTCGCCCCCACCACCCCCATCCCCCTCTCCACCCAATTCGACGTGTCGTTTCTCCCTCGGAGCGTCACGCAAAACCGACGGTTTCACCGGTGATCCTAACCACTTGTCACTTCACGCGACGCAGATCATCGTCACGACGTGCCCGTCCATCATTCAGGGATTAAATCATTCGACTGCCCCCGCAAAACTACCGGGGACAGGCCCACAATTCCAAAATCCTTATTCAACGCATGACTGTTCTGTCAAATCAAACATTTCGATGTCAAAGGTCGTAATTAGTGGTAATTAATTATTTGAATTGCATGTGGAGAAAAATTTATAGGCAAATGTTGAATGCAAAAAAATTGAATTTTTTTAAAATCAATTTGAAGTCATTCGAAAGTTGGATAATTTAGTTTTTTTTTTGAAAAAAGGGGTTTTGGAATTGCATTGAATATTCAAAAAATTACTTTTTCCTTTTAATTAAATTGAATCAATAATAAATCCTTTAAATTTCTGTTTTCAAGAAATTATATTACGTTATATCTTTCTTCAAAGAAAAAATATGGGAATAATCATTGAAATTGCAATTACCATTGCACTTGCAGAAATTTTGCAATAATAGAATAAAAAATAAATAACTCGAACTCTTAATTTTTCAAACTGTTTTAATCCTCTCAATTTCGTTTGTATCTCGTAAATCCGATCGTAAATCGGACTTCCTCCATTTCGAAAACCCGCAGCTTTTAATTAACCGTTTTTCTCAGTCTGTTAATTCAAATGGGATCTCACGTACTCAAGATGGATTAGCATAAACAAATCATCTGGATTAAAACGTATGGCCGCTCCTCTCCCCGTTATTTCGTCCAGAAGTGTTAGGAATCCTCGGGTCCATGTAGAAATCAGAAGGACAAACAATTAATAACCTCTGCGGGGGCGCCTCGGAGAAATGCACAGGACAATTAATCAGAATTAAACGCTGGAGTTAAATACTCACTGGAATTGCGTACACTCCAGCATGGAGGGGAGAGGATACACAAAAGATTTACATCAGTGTCAGTCACAACGCGTTGAAATGCCCTCAGTTCATCACTGAGTTAATAACAATTTCATTATTAATCATTCAATAATTCCATCACATACCACACGGGGCAAAATTAATAGAAAAAAATGCCTCCCAAAAAAAAAAATTGCCAAAATTGATTTAAATTATTCGCGGAAAATATAATAATAATAATGATAATGATATTTCTGACAATTTTAATTTCACGTGAATGTTATTAATGGAGTAATAAAAAAATGGTTTTTTTTTTGTCTGTAGAATTGAAGAATAAACAGATGTTTTATTGGAATCCCGTGATTGACATGAAATTGGCGATTTTTTAATAGTAATACGACAAAAAAATGATTAGGGTGTGCGTGAAAGGAGTTGAATACCTCCCCCAAATGTATCCGGATGTATTCCGATAAGGTGCGATGCATAATGGCCACGAGGGGTTGGAATCGACACTTGGTCCCTCATTGCCAACACACATACAGTGACAAAACGTAATTTCCAATTCAAAGGGAATGACCATTGGCTTTTCCCTCGCGCCATTGGTCTGTCTCTTTCACTCTACCAATTGTGCACTTTAACTCTCTTTTCGAACGGTCACCCACTCTCTATTTGCTTTAGCCGGACAAACGCGCATTGTGATTTGAGAGGCCTTTGACTCATATACAAACTCGAATGAAATCGTTTGGCAGTTGAAAGGGCGATTTATTTTGAATATTCATGGTGGAGTCCAAGCTCCAGACGAGGAATTTGAACTTGTTGCCATTCACACTCGTGTCGAATTTTTTTTCAACTAGTAATTTGACGTTTGACATTTGACAGCGAATTTTTTCCCATTCCTAGAGAATTCACTGCAATTTTTTTGAAAATTTCTTCTTCTACTAATTGATTGTTATTTTTATTAATCAATTATAATGAATTATTTCCCGTGGATTTCCACAACTTTTATTTGTCAAACAACGATTTGAAAAAATCTGGTTTTGATTATGCCTCCGCCGTAACTTAAATTGAAACTCCATTGAATTTTTAATTGTCCCAGTACCAATACTCCTCAAATCATAATTAAGCGAAAGCGATTCGGTGGAAATGAAGGGCGAGGAGATGGCAGGACGGAGGGCGGGAATGTTGAAGAAGGGACGATGAGTTTGGACTTTATGAATATTATTTTCCAGCAGATGTCTTTCCCGATAAAACGTCGTTGTCGGTGTAATTAATGACGTCTCAGAAATCAGCCGAAAACGAGAGTGAGAGGGCAAAAGTTATATACGAGATGAGTGAATCGCTGGGTTGGTGGGTGGTTGGGAGGGTGAGGGGAGGCTGATGTTGGACGGTCTGATAAGGCGAAGATGGTGGTGAGTCGACAGGGTTATGAGGTACGACAATGCGCGTGAATTATGCCGCAATGACTGGGTAGATTTTAAAGCCAGGAAGCCGACATTAGCCTGTGCCTTATAACCCCGAGGAGACCATTGATACAAGGGTCTTTGCAATTGCCACACCGCGCTCGACCATTAATATTACTTTACCGGAGTTGTGTAATGCCTTTTACTCCGCCTGTAATGACGCTGAATTTTCGGTGATTTCTTATGTGAGGGGGTAATGATCGACGCCAGGCTTTCGCCATTGTCTTTTTTTGTTTTGTCGTTTTTTTTTTATTCAAAACTGCAGGTCGAGGCCATTTCACTTCCAATTGACAATTTAATGATTTTTTAAAATATTTTGATACGACAGAAAAATGAAAAAATTTATTTGAAATCGGAATTTATCCGAATAATTTCCTAAAATCAAGTTACCTAACTTGAGCAACAATCGCTGTATCAAGATTATTGCAAACTGCACTCCCATTGACTTTTTAAACGCGAGTAATTACCCGACGGGGCAATAATTACCCCCTCAAGAAATCCTTTCGAATGCATTTACTTACCCCACGAAAATGATAAAAAAGAGAATAATGATCTCCACCGTATCATTTAAATGACGCTGATGATCCATCAATTTTTTCTGATACTTAGAGGCCGATAAAAAATAGTGGGCCGTAATTAGCCTTCAGAATTGTCTTTGACGTTTGATCTGGGGTTTTTAAACGTCTCGGTGAAACTGGTATAACCGGTGGGACGATTGGCAGAGAAATATGATGGTGGTATGACATAAAGTTACATTAGACGGGCTCCTGTGCAGGAGATACCGCCAACCGTTTAGCATTTGCCGGTCGTTTTCACATTTTTTTCCCTCCATTTTTTCCCCCTCGATTGCATCCTCGTGAGGTTCTGAAATTTACGATTAAACGGTGAATTAATAGATCACGATTATCTAATGAGGATTGAGAGATGTGTGATGTATTTTATGGGAATCAACACACGATTTGAGTGACGAGTATCAGAAGGTACTTGTCGGACTAATTGCGTACAAACGGACTATCGGATACATTTGATGGGGATCACGAGTGTTCGGGTGTTGTGATTAATGTGAATGCTTCAAGTTGTCAACGGGTGCACTGATATCTCGTAATTAACGAGATCATTCGCTATTGCAAGTGCGCGGAATTCTTGTTTTATCGGCTCTAAGTGTCGCGTTGAAAAAATTGAAAAAATTTATTCACTCCTGATTAATTGTTTGTTAATACCCATTGTTAATAATATATTTATTGTTGGGGCGAGTTCAAGATCGGGAGCATAAATTTTTGTATTCGCTTAATTTTGAATAATTTATAGTGACCCCGATTGGGATTTCGGGAGTTATTTATCCCGGGGATGGATTATAAAAGAATGACGATAATCGCTTCTTCGAAAGGGATCATCGGAGACTGATACCTCTTCTTTGGAATTATAAAATATTGATTCAGCTGTTTTTGATCACGCCAACGTGCCCGAGGGACAGGACTAATTGTTCGTCCTCGGAGTTCCATGATCGATTCTATAATCGACTCTGACCCGCACGATTATTTTTGGAGATACGGTTTCTATTTATAGAGATTTCAAAAGACAATTACACATCAGTTATATATTTTACTGGAATTTCTATATTTATATATTTTACTGTATTTTATAAATGAATTCACTCATACCAATTATTGGAAATAGAAATTTCTGTTCTAGCGCCAGAATTAAAAAAAAACTCAACCCAAATTTGAATTTCCATCGGGTAAACATTACGAGTATATGATGAGCGTTTCAAATGACGAGAAGTTAATGAATTTTGAAAGAAAACACACGTTTTGTAGTTGTCTTGGCAGTGACTCGTGCTGTCAATCATCTCTGTAAAATCCAGAAATAACGAGATACCGAGTTGCGACAAACGAAGGACTAACGACGAGAAACGAATCAGAAAAGAGGATATAACAATTTCATGGTGCATTTAGTGCAAGTGGGCGTGTTTGATGGCTTGAATGCGCCGCTGTGTGCACGGAGGTGTCCAATGGGGGTAGCTGGACTAATTATGTTTTTAATTAATCATCGTTTTGTCAACGAGTCAAGCCAACGAGCAGTGTACACTGTTGCTTAGAGAACACTCTGGGACACCCAAGTTTGCTCGCTAGTCTCGTT